GATAAAGAGTAGAAATCAATGAAACTAAAAACAAATTTAGTGAATCAATAAAGCAAAAAATTAGGCCACTGAAAAAGTTGACAAAGTAGATAAAAGTTTAGTAGCACTGATCAAGAAAGAAAAAGCACAAATAAACAGAATTAAGAATGATAAACTGGAGTTGATATTGATCAAAGAGGTAAGAGGATACGAACAACTTTATCCCATTAAATGTGAAAGTTTGTACAACATGGACAAACTCCTAGAATAATAATTTATCAAACTGACTCAGGAAGATGAAGAAAGCCTCTAAATCTGTAATGATGAACCTGGTTGCCACTAGTCACATGTGGCTATTGACACTTGGAATGTGGGTGCAACTAAGTAATTAAATTTTGAATTTTATTTCATTTTTACTAATTTAAATTTAAAACTGACTGGGTGGGTAGTCTCACATCTGTAATCCCAGCCCTCTGAGAGGCTGAGGTGGGAGGACTGCTTGAGGCCATGAATTCAAGACTAGCCTGTGCAACATAGTGAGACTCCCACCTCTACAAAATATTTTAAAAAATTATTAGGGTGTGGTGGCACCCACCTGTGGTGCTACCTAATTGGGAAACTGAGGTGGGAGCATCTCTTGAGGCCATGAGTTTGAAGCTGCAGTGAGTTATGATTGCACCACTGTTCTGAAGATTGGGTGATAATGCCAAACCTGTTTCTAAAAAAATAATACAAAAACAACTCTGCAACAGTGTGAAGCATTTTTTTTTTTTCATTAAACACAACTTGACTGTTTTGGTCGGACTGTGTTTAACTTTAACCACAGCATCTCATAAGCCATTATCATTGCATTGCAGTGTGTGTGCTGGAGTGGTGCACTGTTTCCAGTATTGCCCATAAACACTGACCTTGTTGGTGTCAATGGATTCAGTTTAAATGAGTTTTTTTCTATGCACAGATGTAATAGTGGAATCTGTTTATTTGAATATTTTATGAAGACATCAAATGAGAAGACATAATTTACATAGTGATGCATAAATCATAAGTAGAATTTTTTATTTCGTTATAACAAAATCATTTTCCTAGTTAAAAATTAAGTATAGACAAAGTTTTAAATTAAAAATAAAGACATATTATTGATGCAGAATTGCAGAGCAATATTAGAAGCTAACACCATGAATGGAACAGTAAAGAGAAAAATAGCCTGGAAGAAGGTAAGTCACAAATGTCGCGATGAATGGCCATTTGCAATTTGCTGTGGCAGAGCAAACTGCCTGAGCTATCTGTTGCTATGTGATGATGTCACTGCTCTGAGACAAATATGTTTGAATTTTTTTGTGTTTTAAATGTCTCTGTTTTCATTTCTAATAAGTAGATCTTGATATAAACCACACACACACAAAAAGCACTTTGTGGTCTTCAATAATTTTAAGACTGTAGAGGAGTTCTGAGATCGAAAGTTTGAGAACCACTGATCTAGGGCATAGAAAAGTTTAAGTGGCATGTTGTTTTGGTATTAGGAGCCAGCAGGATTCATTGGAATATTTTAAAATGCGGAATGACCTTAAATGTTTTTAATTGGCCTTATCTTTAACAGGCTCCATCTTTCTTTCTTCTTTTTTTTTTTCCTAATGTCCCTCCTTCATCTAGGTCCTCATACTGCAGTGTACCACTTGGCCTATCTTACTTGAGTTTGGGATAAGAGGACTCTAATATTGAGGCCCTTTTTTCCTTTATTCACATCTAGATGACCCTATCTTGTGTTGTTTTGCAGGCTCTGTTAATTATATGCAAGGGCTAATGAGGCAGCTTTCCCAGGAAGTAATTTGCATTTTTAACAGATAACTTTTGAAGACACAGCACTTCATTCAACAGAGTTATTTTGTTCGGAATGAAGAAGGTTGAGTAGGCAGAAATCCACTATGAATATTCTGAGAATCCCAACAGACTGAGCCATAGATACCACAGGATTAATAAATGAGGCTCCCTGGAATGACAGCAGCAAAAGGCAATTTCCACTGCAGCACGCTGGGTACTGCCCAACCCAGATCCTGCTGAGCATCTTCCGGCATCCAGGAGCTCAGCAAATTTCCAGTGGCCAGTGGTGTGGCTGGTGATTGACTTAGGTGATAGCTCTACAGCCTCTGATAGTTATTTCCAAAGTCTTATAGGAAGAAGGCAGTCTGTAAAAAATCCTGAGGCTCACACACACCGATTTTATTTTCTAGGCATTATCATTGAAGAGAGGGTCTTATATCCTTTGCAATGGCTATTTTTTGCTTACATTCTTCTTTTCAAATTTAAATAGTGGTAACCTCTTACACATTTTTAAACAGCCTTTATTGTTTATTTATTTATTTATTTTGAGACAGAGTTTTGCTCTGTTGCCCCGGCCAGAGTGCAGTGGTGTGATCTCGGCTCATGATAAACTCCGCCTCCCGGGTTCAAGGGATTCTCGTGACTCAGCCTCCCTAGTGGCTGGGATTACAGGTCTGTGTTACCATGTCTGGTTAATTTTTGTATTTTTAGTAGAGACAGGTTTCACCATGTTGGCCAGGTTGGTCTTGAACTCCTGGCCTCAAGTGATCTGCCTGCCTTGGCCTCTCAAAGTGCTGGGATTACAGGGGTGAGCCACCACACCTGGCCTAGAGCAGTTTGAAGATCACAGCAAAGCTGTGAACTCCAGAGTTTCCAAGCACCTGCTGCCTCCACAAATGCACAGCTTCTCCCACTATCAAACATCCTGCACCACAGTGGTACATCTGTCACCACTGATGAACCTACACTGATCTATCATTCAAAGTCATAGTTTACTTTTTTTTTTTTTTTTTTTTTGAGATGGGATCTCCTTGCTCTGTCACCCAGGCTGGCGTGCATTGGGAGATCATGACTCACTGCAGCTTCTACCTCCCAGCTCAAGAGATCTTCCTGCATCATCAGCCTCTTGAGTAGCTGGGAATACAGGTGCACACCACCAAACCCGGCTAATTTTTGTATTTTTTGTAGAGACGAAGTTTTGCCACTTTGCCTAGGCTAGTCTCCAACACCTGGGCTCAATGATCCTCCCACCTCAGCCTCCCAAAGTGCTGGGATTACAGGTGTGAGCCACTGCGCCCAGCCAGGACTCACCCTTAACGTTGTAGGTTCTATGGGTATTGACAAACATATAAAAACATGTATTCACCATTATAGTATCATGCAGAATAGTTTCCCTGCCCTAAAAATCCTTTGTGCTCTATTCATCCCTCCCTCCTCTCTAACGTCTAGTAACCACTGCTGTTTTTACTGTCTCCACAGTTTTGCCTTTTTTAGAATGTCATATACTTGGAATCATACAGTACATAGCCTTTTTAGAGTGGGATTCTCTTTCATGATTTCATTTCCGCCTTCTAGACCGTTCATATTAACCTCATTTCACCTGTGTAGAAGTAGATGGTAGTTGATATATATTAAAAAGCAAGCAAGCTACAAAGTGTGACCTGGGAACTCTTGCATCAGCATCACAGGGGGGCGATAAAGCCCTGAGGTAGTGGAGAAAAGAGGGCTACTGTGGTTAGGGAACTGTGTTTAGACCGGTTTGGGCATCAAGAGAGCGTTGGAAAGAGAGGCAGGACCCACATCCTTGCACAGTGAAGCAGGTCAAGGTAAGTCGTTGAATTTTCTCAAAGTGTAACATGAAGCCATTGGAAGTGAGCAAAGTAATCAGATCTTATTTACATTTTAAAAATAACACGATGACTGTTGGGGAGAAGTGACTGCAGGAGGACCCAAAGAGCAGTCTTCTAGTTAGGGAACCACAGCAGTAACTGAGACAAGAGAGAATGCTTTGCTTTAGCAATGCCAATGGTGAGAAACAGGTGCTGGACATATTTTGAAGGTAGAATAGCTCAGATTTGCTAATGGATTGAATGGATAATGAAAGGCAGTAAAAGTGAGTGTTAGGAGAGAAACATAATTTTGCTGGCTTCAGGAACTTGGAGATTTACCAAAATAGTAAAGATTGATACAGTGAAGAAAGCTGGGGGTGGGGAAACAGGATGTTGCACATGTAAATATGTTTTGCACGTGACATTTTCCCCCACACTCTATACTGAAAAATTTCAAAGAGCAAACTGCGAAGATTTTTTCAAGGAATGTCATATCCCCATCGCCTAAGTATAACATCCCACATATTCATCTGTTCATGCCTCTATCAGCCCATCTTACTTTAGTAATGCCTTTAAATTGCAGGAATCAATGCACTTTCCTTCAGAATTCACCTCAGCACGCATACAGTTTGTTTACACCTTTTTCTTTTGATCTAAAATTTACACTCAAGGTGAAATGCCCAGATCTTGAGTGCACGTTAGCTGAGTTCGGACACACGCGTACACTCGCCTAAAATCCGAGATGCAAAAAAAGAGCATCATCAAACGGGCTGCTGGAAGTAGGGATCTGGAGATCAGGAAAGGGGTCTCGGCTTGAAATTTAAATTTGCGAATCACCAGAACACAGGTCTACCGAAGCTATGAGATTGGATAAATCACCTAGAGGGAGCGGAGGAAAAAGGAAGGGTCTGTGCCCTCAGAGAGCAGCATTTGGAGGTCGGTCGGGTGGCAGCAGAGGGGAGGCCAGGGGTTGAGCAAGCCCAAGCCAGCCGGGGTCCTGGAAAGCACCCCTGCTTGGCGCCTAGCCACCGCCTGGACCGGAGAACCACCAGGTGCGGGGGGGAGGGCTGGGGAGCAGGGCGTGGAGGGGGCTCCCGCCCAGCGGCGGGAAGGGCAGCTGGGAGGAGGAGGGGAGGAGTATGAGGCGGAGAAGAGGATTACGGCGCGGAGGGGAAAACGGAGGAAGAGGAGGGGCTCGGCAAGGAGGAGGAAGGGGAAAAGTGGGAAGCACAGGACGAAAGGGGTGCCGCGGAGCGGGGAAGCGGGAGAGAGGGAGGGACGGTGGGAGGGAGGAAGGGAGGGGAGCGGCGGGGCGGAGTCGCCGCTGCGGCCGGCCGAGGGCGGGAGGAGGGAGGGGGTGTGTGCGCGGGTCACATGGTCGCGGCTGCCCTCCCCGTCAGCCGCCCTCGCCGCCGCGGTGCGCTGGCTGCAGGAAGCCGCCGCGCCGCCGCTTTTGTTGTCAGGGACCCCGCGAGGAGCGCCGCTCGCCGGCCGCCGCCACCCTCTCGCTGCAGCCCGCTCTGCGCTGCGAGGCCCGGGGCCCGGGCGCCCCGCCCGCTCGGCCCATGAGGGGGCCCCGCGACCACCGCTGCTTCCAGCCTGGGGCGGCGCGGCGCTGAGGCGACGGTGGCGGCGCTGCCCCCTCTGCGGGAAGCGGGCGGCCTCGGCCCCCTCCTCGAGGACACCATGGAGGTGAATGCGGGTAAGAGCCGGACTGCGGCGGGTGGGGGATGGCGGGAGGGAGCGCTCGGAGCCCGCGGGGCACTTCGGGAGGCGGCGGCAGGGGGTGTCCCCAAGGCCGGTGGGGCGGGGTGGGCTGCTGCGCGGCCCGTGTCCGCCTCGGGCTCGGTTTCCGTCGCCCCCTCGGCCGCCCCGCGTCTGCCTTGCCGATTCCCTGCAAAGCCGCAGCGCGGCCCGGCGGCGCCCGGCCCGGCCCCCCCTCACATGGCCCGGCCGCGCGAGCCACGTGCGCGCTGTGTTTACGTTCGGCGGCGCGCGGGCGCCGGTTGGCTGGCCGGGCGCGTGACGCGGCATTACATAATGGGCGCTGAGGCGGTGGCGGCGGGCGGGGACACGTGAGGCCGCTCGGCTCCCTGACCCACATTCCCCGGGGCCGCAGGGACACGTGGGGGCGGGCGCGCGCGCGGGTGCGCGCCGGCTGGGAGAGCCGCAGCCTCCCGGGAGGCCCCGCCCCTTTGGAAGCCTCGGGGCAATGACGTTGCCGCGATTCCCTCCTCCCCCGCGGGGTTGCACACTGCGGAGGAGGCCGCGCGTGCGCGCCCGCTGAGCCCCGCGGTGGGGCGGCCCCGATGCGGGCGCTGACGCCGCAGTGCACCGGAGGCCGCTCGCCCTTAAGCGAGGTGACCCCAAGGCGCGGGCTCTGCGCGAGCCACACGACCCCGGCACCTGAGGAGGCTGGCTCCTGCACACCTTACAGATCCCGAGGAGGAAGTGCAGGGCGAGGGCGAGCTGCTGGCGGAAGGAGGCGCTCGGGGTGGGTTTGGGGCTTTCCCGAAGGGATACGCTCGCAGGAGCTCCGAGGTGCAGCGATTCCAAGCGACGCCCGGCTGACTGGGTAGCACCGCACCTGTTAGGAAGCCACCCGTTTACAACAACAACCAGAACAACAACAACAAAACCACACCTTTTCCTCTAGGACTCCCTGTTGTCTCATGCGCCCGCAGGCTTAAACACTGCTTCCAGATCCCCTCGGGCTGGGGTTTTCCTGTAAACTGGTCACACCCAGAGCTGAGCGTGCAGTTCACTTACGGTCAGGATGACTCAGGTGATCATAGGTGACACTCCATATATGACTGGTCATTCTCATTTGAATTAAAATTAACCTGTGGGTCGCTGACCTTTCCTGAATCTGATCAAGAGAATTTGGCTTTATAAATATTTTCTTGTCACATTTTGTTAAATTGCCACAGAACAATAGGGTGCCCCAGACAAATGATGGGGCAGACCTGAAGTAAGTGAGGTTATGGAAACAGCCAGCTTTTATTTTTTGAGTTAATAAGCGTCTCTAAGAATCGTGCCTCCTTAATAAGTGTATTGTGAACTTTTCACCACCAGTAAAAATAGTCATTTTCTAATGGTGTTTTATGTACTTATTTTTAAAATTTGCTTATTTTTTAACCTACCTCGCAAAAATCTGTATCTAATTGTGTTTTAATTACCTAATGTGCCTATTTAGTCTTTGAGGGTATTTTAAAAGTTTGATAAGTATCTGTCATAGAATTAAACTTTTACATGTTAGAATTTAGAGGTGATCAGGGTCAGGCTCTTTAAACCAGCCTTTAGCATGAATTCTGATAGCTTTGCAGCCTCAGAAGGGCTGGCGCAATTAGGAAGTTTTTCTCTGGTTTGAGCCCTCTTCCAATAATTCGCTGATCAAAATCTTGCCTTATGGAGCTACACATTATAAAAATTCCTCCGGGTGAATGTTGACCATCTCCTTAAGCCTTCAGTTCTTCCATTTCCAGTTCTCATCTCTTGGTCTTTGCCCAGCGTTGTTTTTTTCTGATCACTCATCATCCTTGTTACCCTTTGGGATGGAGCACCCAGAAGTGAACAGGCGCTTGTGGAAATAGTTGGATAATTATCAAGTTCCAAGTCGCCCTCTTTGTCTTGGATCCTGCTGCAAATGAATTCCTTGGCAGACTTAGTTATTTTGGCATATTGCTTTGCTGACTCACAGTAACTTTGCAATCAACTAGGACCTTTCACGTGAGCTATTATGAAGCTAGTTTCATTCATGATGCAGGTAATTGCATGACTTGAAGTGTAGGAATGTGCAGTGATCATTCTTAAATTTTCTTTTGTTCTTTTGGCCTTAAATTTAAGACTGTCACAAGCTGTTACCCAGTATGTTAACAATTTCTGCCATCTATCTGTACACGGGAGATCTAATAAGGATTTTCTTTAACTGGCTGGGCGCAGTGGCTCACTCCTGTAATCCCAGCACTTTGGGAGGCCGAGGAGGGTGGATCACCTGAGGTCAGGAGTTCGAGACCAGCCTGGCCAGCATGGCGAAACCCCGTTTCTATTAAAAGTACAAAAATTAACCAGGTATGGTGGTGGGCGCCTGTAATCCCAGCTACTCAGGAGGTTGAGGCAGGAGAATAGCTTGAACGTGGGAGGCGGGGCTTGCAGTGAACTGAGATGGAGCCATTGCACTTCAGCCTGGGCAACAAGAGTGAGACTCTGTCTCAAAAAAAAAAAAAAAAGTCCTTTAACTTTTGAATTTTTGTAAACATTGACCAAGGTGGGGCCAGATTCAGTGCTGTGGGGCACACCTCAGCCCTTCTTTCTAACTTGATATCAATTGACAATCATTGAACCAGTGATCATATAATCTTACTGCCCTTCGTGACAGCTCTGTGCCCGCCCCATGAGTAACAGATGTGAAAACAGTGAGGTGAAAAACTTGGAAAAAATTAGGAGACATGGGGGCAGAGAAGTCTTTACTTGGACCTAGGAAAAGCAAGAATCTGAAGTGAAGTAAGAAGGTGCTCTACTGGTCAGTAGGATTAAGAGATTCAAAAGGTAGTGTGGAAATAACCTACAAAGAAACCACTAGATCCTTAAGGCACATTAAAAAATGAGGTAAAGAATGGATAGAGAGGGTTAGTTTAGCCTGAACTATTCTGATGAAACTCCTCTAGTGTAATGTTGGCAAATAATCACCAGCTTCTTACTCTGCCAGGCCTTTTACATGTGTTCCTCACGTTAATTCCATGAAGGAAGGTGCTGTTGCCACCATCTTAATGATGAGGGGCTAAGTAATTAAATAACTTACCCAGGCAAGTAGTAGAACCAGAATTTGAATCTACAAAGTTTACTTGGGAACACAAACTGTTAACTACTGTGCTGCAGTATACCTGTATACCATTTGAAGATTGAGGCACAACTTGGTCCTGTCTTCTTGGGGGTGAAGGCGATACAGCATGTGTATGGGTCCCACTTAGTTTGCGGTGATATATGTAGGTTAGAGCTGGTGGAAAAGGACAGTCATCTGTAGGGCCTCCCAGTTTCATCAGTCCTCTCTTTAGTCCTGCTGGCTTGTTTCCAGACATGAGATTACACTTTGAACTCCCCTCTCCAGTAATTTATTTGGAGATAAAAATAATTGTCTATTGTATAAAATAAGACTTATTTGGCCGGGTTTAGTGGCTCACATCTGTAATCTCAGCACTTTGGGAGGCCGAGGTGGGCAGATTATCTGAGATTAGGAGTTTGAGACCAGCCTGCCAATGTCCATCTCTACTAAAAATACAAAAATTAGCTGTGTGGTAGCGGGCACCCATAATCCCAGCTACTCAGGAGGCTGAGGCAGGAGAATCGCTTGAACCAGGAGGCAGAGGTTGCAGTGCACTCCAGCCTGGGTGACAGTGAAACTCCATCTCAAAAAAAAAACAAAAACAAAAACCCAAAAAACACCATTTTGGCTGGGCGTGGTGGCTCACACCTGTAATCTCAGCACTTTGGGAGGCTGAGGTAGGTGGATCACAAGGTCAGGCGTTTGAGACCATCCTGACCTACATGGTGAAACCCCGTCTCTACTAGAAAAAAAAAAAAAAAAAAAATTAGCCGGATGTGGTGACACGCACCTGTAATTCCAGCTACTCAGGAGGCTGAGGCAGGAGAATCGCTTGAACCTGGGAAGTAGAGGTTGCAGTGAGCCAAGATTGCACCACTGCACTCCAGCCTGGACAAAAGAGCGAGACTCCATCTCAAAACACCGCAAAAACCAAAACACCATTTTTTTTGTCACCCCATTTAAAAAATATCTCTTCTGTGATACATTGTTCAATAATTTACACAGCCTTCAGTTCCCCACTTAGATGTTGCCACCTTGTATGTGTTGCCCCTCTTGTTCTCTGCCCTCTTTAGTATGATCCTCAGCAGTTCACAATCATTTGTATGAAACATTACTGCCAATAACATAGGTGTTTCCCCAGTTGACATGTAGGACATTTTAGGGAAAGGACCATGCTGTTCTCTGGAGCCCTGACTCCCAGGACATAATTGGAAGTTTAGTGCTTCAATTAGATCTCTTCCACCCTTTGACTAGGAATTATTTATAACATTTTTAAAATGAGGAAACTAAAGCTTCTTGGTGATAAAATGTTTGGTTCTAAGTCCCATGCAGAAAAATGCAGTCATGATTTGAAGTCAAACACACTTGCCAGTATCATGGACAGTGGGAGTGGGTGGGTTTTGATGATGGGCAAGCCCAGTACATACAGGAATAGTAATGCTTCCTAGCAGTACAAAATTGGATATTGACCTACGGCTTGTATGAAGTTGACCACTGGGTAAGCGCTAGCATGGGAACCTGGCCCAGGTCCAGGGTCGCTTTCAGCTGAAATAGAGAAGACTGCCTCAGCTAATTTTAGCTCAATATTTCTAAGAGGTACATTCTGCCTGTTTCTTGGAGGTGTTGGGACTTGCTGGTTTGGGGATTTTTACCTCTCTTACTTTATCATCAAAAACAGTGTATGTAAAAAGTACTTTAATAATCCTTTTTATGAACACCATTTCAGTCTTGTAATAACCGACAGATATTCCAATTTTACAAAAGATGACTCAGGTTCAGAAAGGTTGAAAGTGACTTGCTTGCCCAGGTTTTCTCACCAAATAACAGTTTGTACTTTGGAATTGGACAAGCTTGACTTTAGACTCTGGCCTGCCACTTAGTGGCTGACTGGCTTATCCTCTCAGAGCTCAGAGCTCCTTGATTACAAAAATGAGTTAAGGAAAGTTAATTCACAGAGTTCTTCCTGTGAGGATGACATTGTGTCATTTTATTCCTGACATCCAGTAGGTACTTGGTGACTTGTAGTTTCACTTTCCTTTATTCATTAGGTGGAGGAACTACTGGATGTTCTTCTTACCTTCTAGGAAATTAAAATTTAACTCATTTGAGTTGCTAACAATCAGGTTCGCAGCTGGGTGTCTAGTAGCAAGAGTGGTCGCTAAGACAACTAAATCAATACTGAAGGTCTTGTTAGGAGAATGCAGCTACCTATGTGGGTCCTGTTTGATTCTCTGGTGCCCGGCACAAATTCTTGTTAATTCTTAAGACAGGAATTGGGTCTTAACTGGATTGATAATAGCCCAGTAATTTTTTTTAGGATGGATATTGACGCTTTTGCAAAGGAAACTGTTTTTTGGTTAATTACAATACATTCCATTGCCCAATCAGTGCTTTCAACCAATTTTTAAGCCATCTGCATAGCTCTAATTTCTAAAAGTTTATTTCTTAGCGAAGGTAGTCAGCAAATCTTGTGAACCTAGATGACCAAAAGTGCAGGCCCTAGGAAAGTCTTACTTCCAAGGAAAAACATCACTTTCTTATTTTTATTTTTTATTTTATTTTTCTGAGATGTTAGGTGAGAATTTAGTACCTAAGACACTAGTTTTAGAGAAGATAGATAGCTGTGAAATGTCAATGGAGTTTGAGGACTCAGAGCATTTGTCTTTGTTCAGTGTCTTATTCTGAGTGGAGACCCCTGTGAAAAAAGTAGTTGTGTGCTAATACCTGGAATTTCTAATTAGACTTAAGATCTCTAAAGTTTTATAAAGACAGCACAATGGTTTTACCCAGTAACATGACACTGGCTAGGTTTCCAGGTAAAATGGTTTCTCTGTGGATTTACAGAGTATTAATGATATTCTGGTAGTTGTATTGATGAAAACATCAGTCTTTAAAACTATGGGCGAATTTGTGTTTGAATTCACTGATTATAGCCATTTTTAAAGTTCAATGTGCAAATAATTGCTTGGAGAACTTGCTAAAAATGCACATTCCTGAGGATGTCTTCTCCAGTCTGGGCAGGGCCTTGGAAACATGTATTTTGAGAAAGCATCAGCTAGTTTTGAGGATATGTATTTTACATAATTTCTCCGGGTGATGAAAATAAACTCAAAGTTGAGAATCTTCTTGTGTTTGCAGTTTTGGAGCTTTTAGATTTTATTTATTTATTATTTATTTTTTTGAGACAACAGAGCCTCACTCTGTCACCAGGTGCCAGGCTGGAGTGCAGTGGTGCGATCTTGGCTCACTGCAGCCTCTGCCTCCTGGGTTCAAGCAATTCTCCTGCCTCAGCGTCACGAGTACCTGGGAATACAGTTACGTACCACCACGCCCAGCTAATTTTTATATTTTAGTAGTGACGAGGTTTCACCATGTTGGCCAGGTTGGTCTCCATCTCTTGACCTCATGATCCGTCCGCCTCGGCCTCCCAAAGTGCTGGGATTACAGGCGTGAGCCACTGTGCCCGGCCTTGGAGCTTTTAGATTTTGAAATGAATGGTAGATGAAAACTACCGTTGGTCACTCTCTCTTCCAGGGAGCACAGATGAAGTAGTTGGCTTGTGGCAGTGTTCTTCAAACTTGGATGTGCATGAGAATCACCACAGGGCTTATTAAAATTTCTGATGCAGTAGGTGTGGAGTGGAGCCTGATGATTTGCATTTCTAACAGATTCTGGATGATACTGATTCCCCTGGTCCAGGGCCCACACTTTGAGATGGTTGGCTTGTAGTTAGGGACCACATTGCAGGAAAAATATTAATTGTAAAGCACTGACTTTCCTCTGGCAGGTGACATGCACATACCAAGAGGACATGTGGACAGTGGGTCTGATGGTAGGAAGAACAGATTCGCACCTCTGACCTCATGATTGATTCCAGGCATAGGTTTCATGAATGAAACGATGGATGGATTTGTCTACATTATTGATATTCTTGTCTTTAAAAATCAAGTGCATATAGTTGAATTTATGCATGTTAAATTTGTGTCTGGGCTGGGCGAGGTGGCTTGTGCCTATAAGTAATCTCAGCATTTTGGGGGCGGAGGCGGGTGGATCACCTGAGGTCAGGAGTTTGTAAACAGCCTGGGCAACATGGTGAAACCCTGTCTCTATTAACAAAAGAAACAGAAAAAGTTAACCAGGCATGGTGGCTTGTGCCTGTAGTCCCAGCTACTCAGGAGGCTGAGGCAGGAGAATCGCGTGAGCCTGAACCTGGGCGCCACTGCACTACAGCCTAGGTGACAGAGCAAAACTCTGTCTCAAAAAAAAAAAAAAGCTTGTGTCTGAAGAGCAACATTGTGTGTTTCTTGGCATAGTAGGCACCTGTTTCATCTTCCCTTCTGGGTGGCACTCAAACCCTGTGAGACTTGGGATTGTGCTTTCCTCCTTAGGCGGTTTGTTTCTCAGCCTCAAAATGTATAATTGGTACTTAAATACATACCTCATGTCTAATATATGACAGACTAAAAGTGACTTTAAAATTCTCTGCCTATTTTTTTTTTTTTCTTGTCTGTAAATGGAAATGTCTTTTTATCTTTTGGGGATTCTTTTGGCCTCAGCATTTTGCTGTGTGGATTTTTGTTTAAAAATGATTGGTAGGCCAGGCACAGTGACTCACGCCTGTAATCCTAGCACTTTGAGATGCCAAAAGTGGATCATCTGAGGTCAGGAGTTCGAGACCAGCCTGACCAACATGGTGAAAGCCCATCTTTACTAAAAATACAAAAATTGGTGGAGATTGGTGGCTTGCGACTATAGTCCCAGCTACTCAGGAGGCTGAGGCAGGAGAATTGCCTGGGCCCAGGAGGTGGAGGTTGCCATAAGCCAAGATCGTAACACTGCAGTCCAGCCTGGGCAACAGAGTGACACTCTGTCTTAAGAAAAAAAAAAAAAAAAAAAAAAAAGGTCAGTTTTCGGAGGGGCTGTAGTCGTTATGTTAAATTGCAAATAACGTTTTGAGAATAGCTCTGTTTTGAGGGAATTAGCGTCAGCCTTACTGTTATTCTAGTATAGCATGCGTTCTTCCCTCTAGCATCTTTAACATATATAGAGTGAATCAGAACAAATAGTAAATCTGGATTTCTCAAGAGCTGCTTAGAGATGAATGGCACAATGGGGTGGAGAAGGGAGAGTATTGAACTGGGGATTGGTTAGTGGATAGCCACATATGTCTTCTGGGAATGCCAAAACAGAAAGGTACGGGAGCAAGGGCTGTGAAAGGATCTCTGTTTGAGATAAATTACCTTATCCACCATTCTAAATGTTACATCTGTTCTGGATTAACCTGTGCTTTTAGCCAAGTGTTGGGGAAGGCAAATGTAGGGTTGTGTTGGATAACAGTATAACAGGAGGCAAAGAAGACACCAGAACAATTCTTCATGGCCAGTTTGTTTAAGCAATGAAGCCAGTCACTCAGGAACATGTTTTAGTACTTCTAGGAAAAGATTGGAAAATGAAAAGCTTTAGGTGTGAGGGTCTTCATATGCTCAAAATATCCAAGCCCAGTGAAATCCTTCTCACTTTTATTTATTTTTTTTATTTTTGACACAAGAGCTTACTCTGTCCCCAGTCTACACTGCAGTGGCACGATCATGGCTCACTGCAGCCTCGAACTCCTGGGCTCAAGTGATCCTCTCGCCTTAGCCTTCTGCATAGCTGGGGCTACTTGAGGAGCTGGGTGCAAACCACACCCAGCAAATTTTAAATTTTTTTGTAGAAACAGGGTCTCCCTATGTTGCCCGGGCTGGTCTCGCATTCTGGGCTCAAGTGATAATCCTCCTGCCTCAGCTCCTAAAGTGCTATGATTACAGGCATAAGCCATTGTGCCGGGCCCATCTCTCTTTATATTTAACTAATTAGTTAATTTTTTGAGACAGAGTTTCGCTCTTGTTGCCCAGGCTGGAGTGCAGTGGCATGAACTTGGCTCTCAGCAACCTCTGTGTCTTGAGTTCAAGTGATTCTCCTGCCTCAGCCTCCCGAGTAGTTGGAATTACAGGCATATGCTACCACACCCAGCTAATTTTGTATTTTTAGTAGAGACAGGGTTTTTCCATGTTGGGTTACACTAGTCTCGAACTCCCAACCTCAGATGATCTGCCTGCCTTGGCCTCCCAAAGTGCTGGGATTATAGGTGTGAGCCACTGAGCCCAGGCCCTTTTTAAATCAGGGGGAGTTATACACGCTTTGAACTTTGAGGAAGTAGGACGAGTAATAGGAAATAAGGAAATACTTTGCTTTCTGCTTTTGGTGTAAGCAAACATTTCTTATCAGTATCCTATTTCTAAAGTTAATGGCTTTACTGTTGAGATTTGCAAAAATAAAAAATACATATGATCTTGTATCTAATTATGTGATTTTCCTCCTATTTTCTAGGAGGTGTGATTGCCTATATCAGTTCTTCCAGCTCAGCCTCAAGCCCTGCCTCTTGCCACAGTGAGGGTTCTGAGAATAGCTTCCAGTCCTCTTCCTCTTCTGTTCCATCTTCTCCAAATAGCTCTAATTCTGATACCAATGGTAATCCCAAGAATGGTGACCTCTCCAATATTGAAGGCATCCTGAAGAATGATCGAATAGATTGTTCTGTGAAAACAAGCAAATCCAGTGCACCTGGGATGACAAAAAGTCATAGTGGTGTGACAAGTAAGTTACCTTAGTTTGCTAAAGATTGTTGCCATTAATTGCAAAATGGGGCTTATTTTATCAGCACATCATTGGGGGGGCTGTTATGTTTCTGAGTAGAGTTTTCACTCCTTGCTGGGTAATCATAAATCAGTAGAGAAGAAATCAGTGCCAAAACCTAAAATGCAATAAAATAAATGGGAAAATAAAAAAAAAAATAAAAAAATAAAAAAAAACTACAAAAATTAGCCAGGCATGGTGGCATACACCCGTAGTCCCAGCTACTCAGGAGGCTAAGCCACGAAAATCACTTGAACCCAGGAGCTGGAGGTTTCAGTGAGCTGAGATTATGCCACTGTACCCCAGCCTGGGCAACAGAACAAGACTCTATCTCAAAAAAAAAAACAAAAAGACTATTCAACTGTATATATTAAATGAACTCAAATATATGTTTTGTATATGTACACATTTATAAATATAAAATCTAAAAAGATATAAACCATACTCTTATCTAGATGTTGTGATACATACAATTTTTTTACTTTTTGCTTGCCCACAGTTTCTGATTTTTATCTGTAATAAAACATGTGAATAGTATTTGGATGGCTGGGTGAATGGATGGGTGGAAGGATGGATGGGAACCAGATTCAGTGGAAGGTTAGGGCTGGGCATTGCATTACCCTGCTTTCTTCTCCTGATTCTCCTGTCCCTTCAATTCCTAGAATCTAAGAATGCCCCAGAAACATTTTTTCTTCCAATTTGTAAAATCACTTCGGTTTTGCTATGACACTTCAGCTACTTTAGAGGCAAGTTCATTAGCAAACAGTGGAGCCAGCATGACAGTTCATTGGAATTCCAAACAGATTCCTCTCTCAACACTGAACTTTCCAAACCCCACAAACAAAGGATGACTGGCAGAGCTATTTATTGAAGTTACAGCTAAATAACTATTGCAGACAAGATGAAATATTTTAAAACAGAGATGGATGAAGGAAAGGGGAAAAAAAAAGAACTAAAGGCCTTACAGCTAGGGTTTAAGACAAGTCTAGAGGGAATGCAGCTCAAAATTTCCAGATACTGAACTTAGCTAGTTTTCCAGGCTACAATGTAAAATTCCTGACCCAAAGCTGAAAGTGAGGTAAGAGTATATGGGTCCACTTAGCAGAGACACCACTCCAAGTTGAGACCAGCTCCTGGGGGACACACATGTGACAAACTCTCAATGCACATATCTCAAGTCTCTCCCAACAAAACCAGTCTTGCTCAGCTGTGTAACATATTAGGAAGAGGGTTACACTCCATTCAGCAAGTGTGCCTGCACTCGCCCATCCTTAGCAAGCTTGCATTCATTCTTCAGACATTCACTTATTTGGGCATGGAGGATTAAACAATAACAAGACATGTTCCCCAGGTGCCCAAAGCTCACAGTCAAGTGTAGAAGACACTTCATTCACTCATTTAAAAAATATTTGTGTCCTGCCATGTAGCAGGTGCTCAGGATATGGTAACAAACAAGCCCAACAAGGTCCCTGTCCCCCTGGAGCTTATATTCTAGTGAGGAGAGACAGGTACAAACCAAGATGATTTTCAGATGGCAATAAATGTTATGAAAAGATAAAGTCAAATTATAGGATACAGAGGCTTGGTGTGGAACTATGGCCAAAGTGGTGAGAGGGGACCTGCCTGAGGAGGAGACATTTGCAGGATGAAAAGCAGCCAGTTACGTGAGATACCAGGGCATGGACATTAGAGATCCCAGGAAACAGACAGGAATGCAGAGTGACAGTTGCCACACTCAGAGCAGGCACAGGCACTTGGAAAACATGTAGAAGGGACACGTGACCCATTCTGGGGTGTCTCACCAAGCCCAGATGGCCTCCTTCTGTCAGCAGTGATTTACAGAGCACTGAAGGTACTTGGTTCAGGGGAGGTGCTGAGAAGAACTACAGACAGGAAGCTCAGCCGTGGGTTTCAGGTAATTCAGTCACAGAACTAACAGATGGGATCAATTTGGACAAGGCTATTGGACATGCCCAGGAAACAGGGACCCTGGAAAGTTGGCAAAGGTGCTGAAACTGAAGGCCAGATATTGATTATACCTATTTCTCATCCCCCTCAAGCCCTATCATCACTTTTCCAAGTCTCCTCCACGCTCCTATAAAGGCTAGAGGAGGCCCAGGTTCCCTGTCTGGAATGAAGGGCTAAGGAAGGACAATATGTAGGTCAGCTGGTAGAGCACTGGGTCAGCTGCCAGGAAGCCAAGTCCCACTCATTCACTGTGACCTTGAGCAAGTCTCTTCCCTGTCTCAGCCTCAGTGTCCTCCATCTGCAAAGTGAGAGACCAGAAGGCCTGGCCATGAGCCCAGGAATCTACATTGCTAACACCCTTGCCCACATGACGATGGTGCATGCTGAGTTTTGAGAACTAATGAGCTATGTGAGTTATCTTTTTTCCTCATGGTAGAAAGGGCTACATGCCCAACTGGCCTGGACGTGGTTCCATCAAGTCTTCCATGGCACAAAGCACAATATCTGGCTTAAAGAAGCCCCTCATGGTGGGCTAATGGCTTTCTCTTTCCTCCCTCCCCTCATGTCACCACCCTCAACATTCTCCCAGTAGAGTTGCAGCCCCATTACCATGGGTTAATGTTGGCCGCTCACCATACCTGTGAACATTGCACAGAAGTAGGGGCTGCAGGCTGCCAGGACCACACGGTGGGCTTCTATCTCGACATCTTCTGCCACAATCATCACGTCACACAACAGCTGTTTACTGTAAGACACCAGGGAGGGGACAGGATGGGTCACAGAATGGACACCTACCCTCATCTTACAAGGCTATTTTTTTCTCCCACCCAGATTTTACACTATTACTACACAAAGCTGTCATAGGGACTTGCTCTATCTTGAGTTAGACAGGGGGATGGATTCATCAACTTTTCTAAGTTCCTGATATACCTGGCATTCATGCTTTCCTAAGGTACATGGAGAGATCCAACTACTCGGTGGCTGTAAATTCAGGGCTGCTTTATTTGTCTTCACCTCTCTGTTCCCCAATTCCATGAAGTCTGATTGAGAATGAAGGGTTTAGCAACTTAGGAAGGAGTGGCAAAAGCTTGGGGCTGTCATTCGAGTGACTGAGTGAATGCTGAGGAACATGAGCACACCACTGAAGTGTGTCACCAGCAAGACCACGTACTAACAATTCCCCAAGGGACGCACTGTACATGTAACATCAGTAAGAGGCAAGCCAGCCTTAGGTATTTCTCCTTCCACCCAGATTTAACACTATCAACAAGAAGACTCTGCACATAAACACAGTGCTCCCTAAAGACCTGTGCAGACTCCAATCACCGCAATTATTTAAAAATACTGCAATTACCTTTATTTTTGCCACCCCCACTGAACTCACAAAGGGACTTGTCTTATTTAATATTGTATCCTAGACACCTGGCTGCATACCTAGCACATAGCAGGCCCTAAATTTTCACTTAATAAATAAATGAATGAATGAAGTGTGATCAATCCACATTCATAGACAGAATGGAGATATGACTACTTTAGAGATTGATAGGGTGTCACAACCTCCCATCAACCCAAGAATTTTTCCTTTATTACTCTTCCAAGCTCTTGTCATTCCTGTTATCAATATGATAGTGAATATTTATTGAGTTCTATGTGCCAAGCACTGTTGTAAGCACTTTTTTACACATATTACTTCATTTAATCCTCTCTACAACCCCATGAGATAGGGCTAATTGTTATGCCCATATTACCAATGAAGAAACTGAGATCCAGAGAAATAATTTTCCCAAAGTCACACAGAAAGGGAACAATGGAAACAGGATTTAAATGAAGGCAGCTGAAGCCCAAACCCCATGCACGCTCCCCTGATTTGAGAAGGCTGAGGTCATGACTAGATTTTGTGTGAGAATGTTGAAGCCAATTAATAAGTCTACCATGGCTGACAGATGGAAGAAAAGCTACATATTTGCCATCTCTGGTATAGCCCATTAAGTCACTGTCAACTACTAAGATATTTGTTTAGGTTCATACATCAAACAAATAGACTCATAAGGTCTGAGAAGGCTGGAGCTGCAAATGCTGTTAGAGATCATCTGGTCTATGAAACTCGGAGAGGTGAAAAGATGCCCAAAGCCACAGAAGCCTAAGTCTTGAATCCAGCTCTCTTCACTCTAGATACAGTGACTTTTCCACAGTACCACAATGCCTCATGATTGGCTGACACTTAAAATGAGAAAACACAGAAGACAGGTTAGATTCAATGGGGAGAAGTGGTCAGGAAGTGTAATAAAGTATCAGTAAGGAGGTTTCCTTTGGGCACCAAGAGGCAAAACCAGGGGACTGAGACCTTATCTGCAGTGGGCAGCAGACCCTGACCACCAACTGTATCAGGGTAAACCAGTACGACGAGGAACAGAACTGGCTCTGTCCCTAACTGGTTACTAGACCATGGGCAAATAATCTCACCACAGTTTTCACACCTGGTTTAGCTGCCTTTGGGACACATATCATGGGGACCAAATGGAATTATAGATGTCATCTAAAAATGGCATTTTCAGTCCCATTAAATTTTATTCTAAAAATGTATTTCCAACATGAACAGACTCATCGTGGACATTTTTACTTATATTAAGTATTTTAGGAAGAAAATTGAGTTATCACTGCTATTTAAAGTAACCACAGTTTGGGAGGCCAAGGCAGGCATATCACTTGAGACCAGCTGGCCAACATGGTGAGACTCTGTCTCTACTAAAAAAAAGTAGCCCGGTGTGGTGGCAGGTGCCTGTAATCCCAGCTAATTGGGAGGCTGAAGCATGAGAATCGCTTGAAATCCAGAATGCAGAAGTTGCAGTGAGCCAAGATCACACCACTAGACTGTAGCCTGGGTAACAGAGCAAGACTCTTTCTCACAAAAATAAAAAAGGAACCAGTTATATCCAGTTATATTTTTTTGGTAACCAATATTTTAATAAGACAATTGTTGACAGAGAAGGGTCAGAAATGCTGAACAAATGTTCAAGGCTAGGAGCTGAACAAGCAACTGTCAGGGCGTGTTACCTTGCACAAACCCAGGGAAGCTGATAGTTCTTGAACAAATGGGAAAGAAACAAAAAGGAATGAAGAATAAAGATAGAGAATCCACTTAAGCAAATCAATGACAGCAGTTCTGATGAGTGGGAAGTGTGTCTCAAGACCAGAGAAATGCTAACCCGGAAAACTGGCCAAAAGAAACTTGCCAAATACTTAAGATGGGCTTTCCCTGGGGATGGGGAAGCCTGTCTGCACACTGGAGACATCTCTATGTATCCACACTACATGGAAGAAGGAAGTCGTAGCTCTAAAGCACTGCATGGCTCACTAGCACTCCTATTCAATTTACCTGGGATCCTATGGGAGCCTCTTTTCTGAGTTATCACACTACTCCAAAGGACAATCTTGAGGAGAAAAAATGTAGAACTAGACACTTCACCATTTGTGGAAAAGTACAATGCAGTGTTAGGAAGGAGCTGAGGCTCTCAAATCAAGCCTCTCGAACCTCTGCCCCACCACTCTCTAGTGTAGATAAGTATACAATGTGCCCAGAGTGTCACAGAATTGAGATGTGCTGTAAATCAGACAATGCATAGTGCTAACAGAAAATATTTAGCAAACGTTAACTTTTTATATTTTGAAAAACAAATTTGAAAAAATGTTTATTTTTTTCAATTGTCTGCTTCACTTTTTCTCTGTATCTTCTTGTTTCCATATAATATTTGGAACTTACATGGTCCTGGAATTCAGATGTGGGAGACAGTTGAGAGGTTAAGGGGAGGAATAACCAGCAAAAAAAAGACAGTGTGCAGCTAGGTGCGATGGTACATGCCTCCTAGATGCTGAGGAGGCTACAGCAAAAGGATTGCTTTAGCCCAGCAGTTCAAGACCAGCCTGGACAACATAGTGAAACCCCATTTCAAAAAATATGACAGTGTGGTACTAGTATAAGGATAGCTATATAGATCAATAAAATAAAATTGAGAGTCCAGAAACAACCCTCATATTTATGTTCAATTGATTTTTTTGACAAGGTGGCAAGATCATTCAACTGGGAAAAAATAGTCTTTTTAACAACTGGATATCCGTACGCAAAATAATGAAGTTGGATTCCTACCTTACACCATATACAAAAATTTACTTAAAATGGTTCAAATATCTAAATGTAAGAGCTAAGCCTATAAAAACTCATAGAAGAAAACATAGGGGTAAATCTTCGTGACTCCAAATAAGGCAATGGTTTNCTTGAGCCTAGGAGTTAAAGACCAGCCTGGGCAACATGGCAAAACCCCATCTCTACTAAAAATACAAAAATTATCTGGGTGTGGTGGTGCGTGCCTGTAGTCCCAACTACTTGGGAGGCTGAGACATGAGAATCGCTTGAACCCGGGAAGTGTGGAGGTTGCAGTGAGCCGAGATCACGTCACTGCCCTCCAGCCTGGAGGACAGAGTGAGACTCTATCTTAAAAAAAAGAAAATTATGATTATGATTACTCTTGACTTGAAAAGATTTTTTTTTTTTACATTCTAAAAGTAGATATGTATCTTTTAAAAGCTCTTGCAAGTTGAATGAAATAAAATATTGGAAAAAAACAAACTCAAACTCAGTGTTTCTTCCTACTTTTTACTTCATGTCCGTTTGTGCCCTAGAATTTAGTGGCATGGTTCTACTGTGTAAAGTCTGTGGGGATGTGGCATCAGGATTCCACTATGGAGTTCATGCTTGTGAAGGCTGTAAGGTAAAGCATGCTTTGTTTCTTTAAGCTACTGATTCTGGGATTTAAGAAGTTGGGTTTAGATTTACCAATTTCCACAACTGATAACCTGAGAGAGAGTGAGAAGTCAGCTGCTCTTTTTAAGTTTCAAGGATTTTATGTAGTATATAAGCATAACTTGTTTTGAAAAATGTTCTTAATTCCGTGAAAGTATTTCTTTTTTCTTTAAGATTTTGAACAAAGTAAATTTGCTATCTTAATTAAACATACTCAGTGCGTTACATCAAGTGCACCAAATGCTTATTCATTAGTGTGTCAAGCACAGGGTAGTGAAATAACAAGGAACAAAACAGACAAGGCACTACTCCTGCCTTGTTGGAACTTCGTTTAAACCAAACTTTGAGTTAGATCTCATCACATGCTTTGACTTTCTGACACTTCAGGCACTGGGAGCTGGAAATAATTCCTAGATACTTAAAATAATGTGATGTTTTAAGAAATAATGCCAGTTGAGTAAAATAATCCTGAATATAAGTTGAGCACTTGGGAAAGCTAGTTTATTTGTAAGTATAGTTGAATATTTCCTAGTTATTGGTATTAGGGTATTGGTCAAATAATTCCCAGTGAGATGGTCTCTACCTCCCTACCTGTATGCAGGGAGTCTTTCTCCCTTTTTAAAAAAATTAGCCCAATCTTTTCTCCTGAGTATCAAAAATTAATGTGGCAAAGACACATGTTCTTGCTTCTTGCTGTTCTCTGACTTGAGGCCACAAGCAGGAATCCAGTTTGGCAAGGTATGGTGGGTAAACAGGATAATGAATATACGTGATGGGAAAGGAAATATTTTCAAGTGTGGCTCTGAATGAATTGTGAGTTTGCTAGTTTTTAATGGCCAGGTAACTTTGTATAGTCAGTATTTTTTATAGATGTAGCATTTTTCCATTGTTTAAATTCTCCCTCTATATTTATATTTATTTTTTTAAAAAAATGTGAAGTAATTTTGGGGCAGGCATTATTCCTTTAGAGCTAGAAAATAAAAGCACAAACTGAATGACCTTGTTGGGTATTCTTGATAAATACACATCTGTTTAGTACTTGCTTAAAAATGTGTCTAGCTCAGCTCTTGCAGTATCCAACTCAAGTGTATAGTATCACAATTAAAAATATAAAAATGTTGTGTCCAATGACTACTAGTGTAGATTTGTGAAATGTGTTTAGTTGTCATATAAAAGGAAAATGCAGTTTAAAATAATTTTGGTAACGGCATTCTTGAGTTTTCTGTCCCTGGAACCATGAAACTGGAGATCACTGAACACCTGTCACAGAACATGTACTTGAACTGTTTGTGGAGTAAAGGCAGCTGTTTGTAACCACTAGTTGGGAACTGTCTTTCCTTGATTGTTAGCTGGTCTGTTGGTGTGGGTTGTAACACTTACCTGTTGCTGACATGTAGTCAGTGACTTATGGCATGTGTAAGTAGGCCTTGGTAGTATCAGCAGGTAATGATCCAGGAAAGACCAACTCCTATGAATGTAATCCACAATTCTATTGAGGGATTATGTCTGTCAAACATGTTTCTCAGTCAGCTTTTTAAGGAGCAGTCATTCAGGCTGGGTGGGGTGGCTCAGGCCTGTAATCCTAGGTCTTTGGGAGGTGGAAGCTGGAGGATTGTTTGAGGCCAGGAGTGTGAGACCCACCTGGGCAACGTATTTTCAAGTGTGGCTCTGAATGAATTATGAGTTTGCTAGCTCCTCTTAAGTAGAAATGCTGGATGCGGTAGCACATTCCTGTAGACTCAGCTCTTGGGAGGCTGAGGCAGGAGGATTGCTTGAACCTGGGAGTTCAAAGTTGCAGTGAGCTATAATTTTGTCATTGTACTCCAGCCTGGGTAACAGAGCGAGACCCTGCCTATTAAAATAAAAAAAAAGGGTACAGTGGCTCATTCCTGTAATCCTAGCACTTTGGGAGGCCAAGGTGGGCGGGTCACTTGAGGTCAGGAGTTCAAGACCAGCCTGGGCAACATGGTGAAACCCCATCACTACAAAAAATAGAAAAAATAGCGGGTATGTGTGGTGGCATGTGCCTGTAGTCTCTGCTGTTTGAGAGGCTCTGTTTGGAGAATTAATTGAGCCAGGGAGTTCAGGGCTGTAGTGAGTGGTGATCGTGCCACTGCACTCTAGCCTTGGCAACAGAACGAGAGACCCTGTCTCAAAAAGAAAAAAAAATTAGTCATTCGTACTTCAAGAGTTTTGAAATTTGTAGTGAATTAAAGTATGAGATGGAAAATGTGACCGCAGGCTGGGTCTGGTATCAGGGTGTTATGGTTGTTGCAAGGGTGCTTTGGGTAAGTGCAAAGAATCTCCAAAGGGAAGAAGAATTTTGTTTGGCTAGTAGGTGCAGGTGCTTACTCATATCAGTAAGAATCTAATTAAATTCTGTGTGTCAACATTATATTTCCCTTTGTTCTAAGATGATAATGTTTTCCAGATAGCTAGTCATATACTGGGACTATAGTTAGTCATATATACTAGATAGGCATGGGAGCAGTGTTTATAAGAAGTTCATCTGGGTATTTTTAAATGGATACGTAAATCTTCCTTTGTTCTTCATAGGGTTTCTTTCGGAGAAGTATTCAACAAAACATCCAGTACAAGAAGTGCCTGAAGAATGAAAACTGTTCTATAATGAGAATGAATAGGAACAGATGTCAGCAATGTCGCTTCAAAAAGTGTCTCTCTGTTGGAATGTCAAGAGATGGTATGTTCCCAGTTTAAAGAATATTCCTTAAGTGGAACTTGGCTTTTATTTCTCAGCATGAACTAGAACTATGAGCCAGTTACGAAGGACTCTCTTGTGTTTGAGGTGAAGCAGAATTTCAGAAAACACATTTTGTTGCCTTATAGGACACCAAATTCATTAAAGTCAAATTTTAGCATTATCCCAGAAACAGTTTTTGGCTAAACTTTTGTTGTTGCTTCTTCTAAAAAGAGCCTTTTTTTTTTTTTTTTTTTTTTTTTTTTTTTT